TCTTCGTGGCAAAGCCAAGGGCGAAAATTTGACCGTGCAAAAGCTGGATAAACAGCTTTTGTTCAAGCTCGTGCCCGCTATGGAGATAATTTTGGATGCTGTTTTAATATAAACAACAGAAGAGTTCAATAGATTGACAGTGACGAGAGTACGAGACGCTAAGATTATATTCAACTTTTTTGTGTTATAAAAATATATGTTTTGAAATTATGAACTGGAAGTATGAATTCATTGATATTACTCTCATATTGACACTAAATGATGATATTCTTGTGACACTGAACGATCTAATATTAATAGCTTCAACAATTCTGGTGATCAGGTTACTTCATCATGTCTCTTCAAGACGGAGGACAATTGCTAAATATATGCTTGTTTCGCTCTATATCAGAGCTCATCAGAATGCCCAGGAAACACTGATGAAATTTTGATTTACATCAACGAATCTTTCTTTTTTTAACAGATTTATTGAGTTAAATGGTAATATATATATATATATATGTAGCAGCTACAGACATTAAAGAAGAACTCCAAGGGGTTAAAAGCACAAACATGACTCCAGGGCTTTATTTATAGCCTTTATATGCACCCTGAGAATACTGAATATAGCTACTAAATATAATTACAGTTTGTAACATGAACAATCAGATAAGCACCATTTACATCAGGGTCTAAAATTTATATTTTTTCTCAGTATCCAAAGGGGATACCAGGATTCAAAATTTAGTATATCCTATCCCATCCAAATAAGTTTCCATAACACTCACTGTTACAAATTACAATAACAACTGAGGACACTCAACAGTCAACAACAAATAAACAATTGATCCACATAATCCTTCAACAAACTTCTATATGCTAGTCCTATTGAGGAAAGACTGGTGGTAAACTGATAATATTCAAAAACTTTCAGGAGCTCATCAAAGGATTTTTTTTAGTATCCAGTCAGGATAGTATTATTCATAATTTGGTATCCAAAACCAAATTTTTGGTATCCTGTGGATATCGGGATACTAAAATATATTTCAGACCCTGTACATAAGAACCTGTTTAGGCTAGCTTGGAAAAAATCTAGGTTCTTATTCGCAGGGTTTTACTGTGCTGTCTAATTTTGTCCCAAAACAGACCATGCACGGCAGCCTGTTCTGGCAACATAGATAATGGGATGGTGCCACTCTTTGTGACACAAAATCAGGCAATTATAGTACAATATGAACTGGCAAGTGTCTGGCACCTTAAACTCAGATTCCTTTGTGTAGATGGAGCTCATAAGCCTTGGCTGGCAATCCATCTAGGAGAAAGAAAGCTCTGATTTCAAACCCCCAGACCCCACTAGATCTGACTGGTCTCCATGTGATAAAATAAGAACCTGAAATACTAGCCTAAACAGATTGGGTGTCTAAATACTGAAAAATTAGCCTGACAGGCCCTTATACAGGTTCTTTATATCCAAGCTTTTACTTACAATTAGGGTGGAAAATATACTTACTAGTAATTATTAGTTGAGTTTGTTTACATCATATAAGTATTTGTGATCAAAATCTTTTATAAACTAAATGTCTTAGGGGTGTTTATATGGAAGCAAGCCAGCTCAGTCACCTGAGCTAGGTGGCTTTGCCTAGCTAATTTCATCATGTAGCAGGCTGGCACCAAAACAAATCATTGCGAGAAACTGTCATGGTTATGACCGTCACAACTGTTCACAGAGGCATTAATTTATAAAATTATATATAGATCAAAAATCTGTTGAGAAAGTCTTATTTACTACAATTAGTACAATATATTCGTATTGAGCGGCTTAGCAAATCAGCCAACCTAGGCGAGATCTGGGGCTCTGTCGGGCTTCACAATTTAAACAAGATCTTGCTTAGGCAAGCAAGCCTGGTTCTCATATACGCACAATACGAATATTAGTATAAATTATCTAGCAACATTAGATCTCGGCCATGCGAGCTAGCTCAGGCACCCGAGCTGGCTTGCCTCCATATAAACACCACATTAGGTCAAGTACTGTAACTTCAGTCTTCAGAGCAACTAAAAGGCATTTAAACTGTTATGTGCTTTGATCAAATTAAAATCTACTTTAACTTTGATCAGAGAAACTTTTTGATGTGTTTCTTTTAAGTGAGCACAAGTTGTCCATGAGCAGACAGTCAAAGACAGTAAAGCACTGCCACAGCCAAGTAGATTATCACTCTGACAAGTGACAATAACACGTCTATATAAACAGCTATCCAAAAGTCCCAAAAATGTTCACTCCAAATTGTTCATTATTTTTTCATCGACAACTCACTAGTCTCGAGTATCATATCTTTAGGCCTTTATAATTATATTATGAGTTTCAGTTTGTAAACAAAATAGATAAACAGTTCGTATATATTAACGATAGTGAAATAGTGTAATAAAGGAAATTTTATAGTCATTAAAACCTCGATTGATGGGCTTCAACAAGCGATTTCTCTGAAGGATCAACATTGCAGCTATGTTTGGAGCAATCTCCAATCCTTCTAGGATTCTTTTCTTGACAACCTTTGGTAGAAGCCCGAGGATGCAGGTATATCATGGCCATTCATGGGCAGACGCAGAAATGGAATGCGCTCTCCATCGAGGAAAACAATAAAATAGATACACTTTGATACACTTTCGAAGCATCCCTGTTAGCGTAGTATCCTTTCCTACTCGTCATATTGCCTCAATAACTCGTTATTTGACGAACTGTCGCTCAAAAAGCTCAAAATATTTTGGAAACTTCTTCGCTCCTTAGGCATTAAATTCAATTGCGATAAAAACAACGCGCGTGTTATTGCCAGAAATGAGACTGGACCGAGCACAACAGAGGATGACAACTTCCTGTGTGTCCCCACATAAACAAAAGTCCAGCACATGCCGCACCAGATGCATTTGCTACCTTAACTGTCTTGAAATATTTTGTCGGGCGGTACATTTATATTGTATAACAAAATATTAAAAAAATTCACGCTGCTCTTAAAATACAGTCGGGCGGTGATGAGAATCAAGGAATTTATTTTATGTGGCCTTATGTTTATATAATAAATATATTTATATAATTACTTCGAGTTTCTTCAATAAAACGGTTATTGATAGAACTTAGCAAAACTCACATATTTGCAATTGAGTGAAATTTTCAAGCCGTAAGCGTTGTATACGTCACTGAAAAATATTCTGAGACCGAGGGAAAACTTTTCAAGTACGTGCCGACCTTAACGGTAAATAACTTATTTATTTTTTGCCGGCACGATGCTTAATTAAATTCCTAAAAAGCTCCAGTGTGGCGAACTAGATTTGAGATCAGTTGTGTTCGTTTATTTTTTTAAATTTCGGCACTTTCGGTTCAAAATGGTTATTTTTATGAATGAATTTTTATTTTCATGAATGACTTTGGTTCATAAATTTCGCAACTCAACAGATGTCATTTTATTTATACATAAATTGTCATTTTGAAGTCATTTTAATGCAGCCACATTTATAGTTGAAGTCATTTTATTTATACATAAATTTTCAAACATCAATTCTACAATTGGTCAACTGAATTGACACTATGCCACTGATTGTGAACGTTAGCGTTCAGCGATAATAATTGCAATTTCATGGCAGTTTCCAATTGCGGATTCATGGCAATTTCCATGCCGGTATAATTATTAGGTACTTTAAAATATCTCAGTGCTCGAATTAGGATGACATCTTATAGCCGGGATGAAATGGTGAAGTTTCGTAATAAATTTAATATTTTGCAACAACAAGCTATGGTTTCATTTATGAAGACAAATATAAAACTAACAAATATAAAGCATAAACATATTTCAACAAACCGAACTTAGAGCTTTGTCAATTACATGAAGAGTTTCGGTCTGATCTACCCTGCGTGAAACTTTCATCCAGTTATCCAAAGTAGTTAAAACAGAGCTGAAATTAATTAATATACATTTATTGGTTGAAAACTGTGTGAGGTGAATTGTACTGTGCACCGACATTTTTATTGAATTTATGTGTAGCAAACGCCTTCTGTACAGTACAATAATATGACAAGCAACGACTTTGTTAACGCAAACGTCATGCGTCAAGGATGGGGCGACCGTTCTTGCTATAAGTTACAACCATAAAACTGCATATTGTTCATTCCAAACAAAAACTACTGACGCGAAATTAATGGCGAATGAATGTACGTGTGACATTCTTTGCTTATCTAATGGACAATTTGCATCATAGACTATTTAAGACTAAATTTTGATCTAGACAAAAATTTCATCACAGCTTGAGAAGAGCATCACAAAATTAGTATAATAAAATGCGAATAATATAGCCTTGCGAAATTTGCAATTTTCAGTCATTTTGTATTGCAAACGGGAAATTGATGGCCCCAACACCCGATTGGGCTGTCAATTTCCCGTTCGTAATACAAAATGATTGAAAAACGGCAAACTTCGCAAGACTATATTATCCGCATTTTCAAACATTTTGCAACGAAACTTGGAATATTACTAATTTTGTGATGCTCTTTCCAACTGTGATGAAATTGTTTTCTAGATCGGAATTTAGTCTATAATGCAAATGGTCCATTACCACTTGATAGAGTGACATTTTCTTTCTTAAATGCTGTGCTGAGTGGTTATATTACTACCTTAAAAAAAACAAGCAGAAACTCGACGTTTCGAGCGAAGGCCCTTCGTCAAGAGTTAGTAGCTGGACCAAGAGTTAGTATGAAGGGTCGAAACGTCGAGTTTCTGCTTGTTTTTTAAGGTAGTAATATAACCACTCAGCACAGCATTTTCACATTGGTACTACCTACCATGGTACAGACAGTTTTAGTATTGTCTTTCTTACACATATATATGTATATTTATATATATATATATATATATATATATATATATATATATATATATATATATATATATATATATATATATATATATATATATATATATATATATATATATAAAGATCGTGATGGAAATTTACATCGCTACGCTGTTGTGCAGTACTATTTCACAAGCGAAGTGGAACATAATGTGGAACCAGCACCCCATCGTAATTCAAAGAAAAAAGATACTAATCACTATGTGCGCACATGGGAGAGCACAAAAACCGCAATCAAACAAGAAAGTAACTCCGCAAAATTGCCACGAGAGGCAGTGCATAACGTTGTAAACAAAATTGGTGGAGTTCAGTCATGTGCAGGATTAGGACAATTACCACGAGGCAGACAACAAGTCAAGGACTTAAAACGAAAAAATGACAAGACTGTTCCGGGCATTGGCTTCAAAAATATATCTGGAAGTGGGAAAACCGACGATCCATGGTATTGTTTGCTTAACGAATGCAAGACGCAAGCACGCAATAAAAATAATGCCTTTATTCGAGATGTCAGGGTTGCAGCTGAACCACTTTGCATACTTGCAAGTGAAAGACAACTCAATGACTTACAAAGATTTTGTTGCAACATTAACTTGTTTAAGCCTCTGACAGTCGACCCAACGTTTGACTTTGGAGAATTTAACGTAACGCCCATATCGTACGAGAATTATTGGCCCAGTTTTGGTACATGAAAAGAAAACAAAAGAAACATATTCCCTTTTCTGTGGAGCTTTGAAAACTTTAAAGCCGGGCTTGGCGAATCTTCTAGCCTGCGGAATAAATGACGAAGAGACTCTTTCCAGCTCATTTAGTGAAAATTTTGAGAGAACGACTCATCTTCTCTGTTCAAACCACTTACGGAAGAACGTGGAAAATTGGCTAGTGGAATTATGTCTCACTGGAAAGAAAAAAGAAAGTATTGTTGCAGATATCTTTGGCCGGCAAATTGGAGACATTTACGAACGTGGTTTGTGCGATGCTGAAAGCCCCGAAAAATTTCGTAGCCAAATGGAATTTATCAAGGAAAAGTGGACAAAAGTCGAAAAGAATGGTTTGATATTTTACGAATGGTTTGTAAAAAACAAGGGAAAAAATTCTTACATCACCTTATTGCCCCGGTTCGCCAAAGAGCAGGACTGGGCTGTCCACCATCGAAATTTACTACGAACAGATCGGAACGAACGAATGGGGTCATTCAAGATCATAGTAAACGACAATTTGGACAACGTCAAGTGGATGTGTTTTCCTTTTCTGTCGCATTAAAAGAATTAATAGACATGCAAAAAAAGGAAATCGAATTATCTGTGGTTGGAAAAGGCGAATATATTATACGTCCACCCTATAAAAACCTACAAGTAACACCCACACAATGGGTTCAAATGACGCAGAAACAGCAGCAACAGGCTTTGACGAAAATCCATACCGCAAGTGTCGAAGATGTATCTGTGACTAGCGAATCTTGTCTGACAACGGCAGTTTCAAATGAAACCGATCCAATTTTGCACAAATTCCTCGAAGCTGGTGTTGACTGGCTCCCGCGAGACGTACTTACGTTAAAAACAAAAAAAGCTGCCGAGATTCACGCCGCAGGAACTGTGGTTGCACTTCCCTCAACTGACGCAACTTCCACAGTTGTTGTCCCCTCAAAGACCAATCCCAAGCAGCCGCATATAGTTAACATGTTTCCAAATGGAAAATGTGAGTGCGACAAAAATTGTCCTGGATATACTGCGGAAAGTGTTTGCGCTCATGTCATCGCTGCGTGCCTAAAGATGTCAAGGCTTTCAGATTTCCTTAGATGGTTTGTTTCTACCAAGAAAAAAACGGGAGGCGTAAATTATAGCAAGGCGGTGTCGTTCGGGATGCCTAAGGGAAGAGGAAGGAAGGGAGAAGCACCGCCTCGGAAAAGAAAGAAAGAATCCGTAACAACTGTTTCTGTAGAAAGAAACGCGAATTCTACAGTAACCACTCCTGGTTTCCCTCATGTACAGCAGAGTTATCGGCCAGGGACAATTGAGACGCCGTTTCGTTTCACACTGTGCCCCCCATGCCCCCCACCTCAGCTACCTATTAGTCCACCGTACCCAACTCCAGCGCCAAACACTTTTATTCTTTATTTTCTCTAGTTTGTCCTCCACTCACTAAAAAATGCTTTGGTTGTGGAAATTCCCTAAAGCCGTCTGGTATGATAAGTAATAATCCAGGAGACATCGTCATCGTTTCCTTCATGCAAAGGCAATACATGCACGAAGGTGGAGTCCATACAAGACCTGGTAATGTATATTTCCATTGCTCCACAAGTTGTGTCCAATTCAGCCAGCCAACCTTTAACCCACTGAGTCACTTAACCGTGCCAGGTGCTATTAAAATTAAGGAACTACTCACGCCAATTCATTTCATCTATATCCAACAAAACCTTGGCGTACTTTTATGAATCTATTTTAATGTAGGGTGAGATTTATATGAAGTTAATCTAATCAACATAAGATGTTTTGTTAAGAATATGCACGCTTCCAAGTTTCCATGTATCCGGAAACGAGGCACATATTTTGGTGACGTACGAACATAAAAAAGACGTACGAACGTGAAAAACTAGTGATGTCTATAAAGTTGGAGGGATTTTTCTAGTTTTTCTAGTTCCAACTACAAAACCCCTTCAAGCCTTCAAGTCACGGATCCATTTCTTGGAGCGAGCTAGGTGTGGCCGTGCGAAACGATGTTTTAATTATGATAACGTTTACCGCAATAGTCCAGTTTACAGGGCCGAAATAAACTTTTTAAACGTCATTTAAATCTCAATAGGAGTTATTAAGATTGTTAGACAGAAATGACATTTTGCTCGCAAAATTGTTTTCGGTTTGCTAGGCATAAACCATTACTGTGTGATTTATACAGTATAGTTAGATAGTGAGCGCAATAAAACTATGAGTGCATGAGAACTGTAAAGCAACTTTTATGCATCTCACTATTGTAAGACTGACTATACATAACTGAACATCACATCATATACTTTGCGGTTATCATTGTTGTTTATGTTGCATTATAAAATGTTGAACATGTTATTATATATTATAAAATATTAGTTGAACTTATATCATGGTCTAATTGAATGTTTGACCCAAGCGTTTTTATCTGATTTCTCTGTGAGTAAATCACTGTAGCAAACAACAATCGGCACCTTCGCGAATCTCAAAATACTTTACAAGGTAGGATTTAATATAGGCTTGGGTAAATTATGCTCGAAAATAGGGCTCATAGTATTATGCCCGAAGGCGGTGCTCGTTAATTAAAACAATCTATTATGCTCGTGAAACAGCCTATTATGTTCGAATTATGCTCGAGAAAAATTCAATTTTAATAAGTGGGAAAATGTTCAAACAAGCCAGATCTGACTATCTGAATGGAACCTCTCTTCAGTCAAAGCATTTATAACTAATTCATTGTTTTAACTCTCGTGACAAAACTCATTGTTTTACTAGTGCCCAGGATCCTGGCCTGTGCTATAATCTCATTTATTTTTTTATTTCTTTAGACTCTAGCCCCAAAGCCAAAGCATTATTTTATTAATTTTTAATTGCTCGAAAACGGCTAATTATGCCGACTATCCTCGTATAAAGCCCCGTTTACAGGACCAGTTTTTATGTGACAATTTTTCATATTTTTATGTGAGAAATGTATTTAATTGGTCGTGTAGATGAGACAACAATTAAATAATTGTTGATGCACTTGATTCCTGTTTAAAAAATATCTATGAACAGCGCAATAAAACATGGCGCGGGCACTAATTATACTTTTACAAATATGGCGGGAGAAAAAATATGACATTTTATATGACAAGTAATCTACACGAGCAATTTTTCGTATGTGACAACTTTTATTTGTCATATAAAAGCTAACGCGCTAGCTTTTCAGCAACTGTATTTGCCTCACAAAAATTGACCAATTTTCCTCGTCTACACGAGCAAATAAAAATTGACACATCAAAATTGTCACATAAATTCTGAAGCCCTATTATGCTCGAAATTATGCCGCATAATTTACCCAAGCCTAGCCTGTAATCCATTAAGTTTCATGTTGTCCGGAACAAGCGGTAGGAAGACATTCTGCCCTTAAAATAGAACCCTTCAAATGAATTAAATCTTCATTCAGACAAAACTTTCCCTGTAAAATTTGCCAGAATTTTAGTATCGAAGCACACTTACTCGGCTAAGTTGAATGCACTTAATTAAACAAATGAGTTAACTTTCGTTGCTATAAATATAACTCAAGTTATAATAAGTATTTTAATAAGTTTTGTCGCTCTCCAATATCCCTCGCTTCAAGTGACAAAAAATTCGTTTTGATATAGATATATTTCCTGACCTTCGGCATATTTTGACCCACGACCTTTAGCCAAGCTCATTAATTAATCACCCATTGTGAGGAAGGATTAAAAAGGATTAAAGGAGGTGCGAAGTGTCAAAATGGACGGGCATTCTATACAGGGTGTATAAAAAAAAACGCAACCTCGGAATTTCCCAAGAAATCGACATTGTTTTAAAGACAAAAGATTTTAGGCGCCTGGGAATTTAAAATAGCACAACTGTCAAAATTACTGCACACGCGAGTGCATAAAGCAAAATTTATGCACTCGCGTGTGCAGTAATTTTGACAGTTGTGCTATTTTAAATTCCCAGGCGCCTAAAATCTTTTGTCTTTAAAACAATGTCGATTTCTTGGGAAATTCCGAGTTTGCGTTTTTTTTTATACACCCTGTACATTTATACTATAAGTCTATACTGACCCTTGCGAGATTGGGCCGCCTGTGATTTTATAATGGTTTTTAATAAAACCCGACGGCCTTTGGGTTTGCGTATATGAAACAACTAAACAAGACAGCATATAATCTCAGTGTATCTGTTACAGTCCGTGCTGCGCATGTGCGATTCTTTTTGTTTTGGTAGACTACTTATCTCTTGTTCCATGGTTTCCAGTCCGATTGCGTAATATACGCGCGATTCCATATTTGTTGATACAAGGAGTGGGAATACACAGTTTCGAAGAGATTTTCAACGATTTGTGACTTTTATGAAGTGAAATCCGATTAATAACAAATCATTGAAACAATATGAGAAGAAGGAAAGAATATTACGCCAACAAGGATGCCTTTAAAGTGTGTTTATTTGAAATTCAGTCAAGCGCTTCGCCATGTCGTACATATAAAGGTAAATATTTGTTTATACATTTGATTATTTCGTTCTCCTGAGTTGAGACTGGATCACTAATTCGCTGTGAATTTGTGACAATTTTTAAGCTAGGGCAATTACATTCATTTACTGTCTGAGAAAATATGGGATCTCTGAGTTTTATAGTTCAACTTGTTCAAGACATGTATAGACTAATATAGTACTTGAAATCTAATTTAATCACCTCAGGCTCAGTACTAGATTCAGTCAAGGATAAAACTGATTTCATCTTTATATGGTGAGCTGTTATCAAAATGCTACTGGGATTGAGTTATTGGATGATTATTGTTTTGTAATTCATAATCATGCATCTCCAGATGAACTTTTTGGTAGCAGCATATATTTTTTTACATCGGACATGATTGTACTGTATGTTGGTACTGTGTAGCACTTTTGTGTGATTGCATATTTAAAATTAATATCACTACTGCACTCGACAAAAATGTACTATGTTGAATGACATGGCATAATTGTTTGTGAACCTTCAAAAAATGCATAGTGTAATCTTTATAAAGGGTATATACCCCATGTAAATCTTTTTTTTGGAAACATTGATACTGTAGGTTCTCATTCATGGAAAAATTGAGGACAATTTGCACATCACCACCACCATATTCATGGCTACACCCACCAATATCTGGACTGCTGCAACTGTAGACATTGTGTTCCCCATGCCGACAGGAAGAAAATATGTGCTCTGTTAGATCAAGATAACATTGTATATGTAGAATACTGTTGTTCCAAGAAATTGTTTTGAGTCGGATGTTTTACAGTGCGTCTACAGTAAGTGGGGCCACTTAGAGAATACTAACCAATCGCATTGCAGAACAAAAATTGGAAAAATCAACAAGCGGCGCATTAGCCAATCAGCATTAGGCCAAAAACAATTTGAACAAATAAACGAATGTCAAACGGTAAAAATAGACATGTAAAAGTAAACACTGCAGTTAATGCTTCCTGAATCTTTCTTTTGATTGGACGAGCTTTAGTTTGATTAGATTTTTCTTTTTGTTCTGCAATGCGATTGGTTAGTGTTCTCTAAGTGGCCCCACTTACTGTAGACGCACTGTAAACATTGCCATTAACCCTTACTAGCACTAGCAATTTTCTTGGCAAATTTCTTCTCAGGATACATGTAGGAACATTGATGAAAATACAATAGTAACTGTATTTTCTGTTGTGACATTTATTTGAAAAACATCATGATCACAGTCCTGAAGAAAGTTGCTAGTGTGACCAATAGTTACAATACAAATTGTGTAGAAAGTTGCTGGTGTGAACCACATCTTGGCAGTATCTGTTGCACGGCATCAATTAGCCACCCAGACAAAAGTGTTATTACTGTTATACCTAGTTGTTGTAAAAAATCCAATATATAGCATATTATGATATTTGTTGTGTTGGTGTAGTGTACTCAGGTGAATAAGATGCTTGTGATGTTACTCTGAGTGTGTATCCACACCGTGCAGGCTTGAATACAAAAATATGCACCGGGCACAGTGTCTATCCACACCTGCCCGGTGTGGATACACACTCAGAGTAACATCACAAGCATATAGCTTTATACCACACCAATGATCAGATGTTCATACTTTACTACAATATAATATAATAAAATGCAATACATGTAATATCAATCGTTGTTAAACATCTAAAACAAAACAAAGCAGATGTAAGGATTAGAAAATTCCCCCCCTGACTATGTTACATGATGGTAATGTTATCTCCACCAAAACTATCAGTATTTATATCTCAATGTTGGCCAGATAACTATTTTAGCCAGAATGTTAAAACTGCTATACTACATTTTTGTTCACATGGCATGAAACATGGTGCTTGAAATCAGTTATCATATATCCATACAAAAAGATAATGAAATATATAAAGTAGCTACAGGAAATAGAACTAGAAAACATTTTATAGGTGGCTATTTAAGGACATAATTTTCTGACTCTCAACCAGCACTGGATAATATTCCCAAGTCAATCAAACTATTCTCAACTCAATCAAATTATTCCAACTCATAAACAATACTTGTGCTCTTATGTAATGAGAATTGTTATTATACGGCAATACATTCTTCCATCTTTGTTTCATCAACATCCAATCTGTATTGTTTCTTCTATATTCATTCCTCTCTTTAAATTTATTTCTGATTGGTTAACCACTATATGGTTGTTATAACCACATCTCCACACTCATCACATAACCACATCTCCACACTCATCACCATGTTTATTCGATGTTAGTGTTGTACAATCTGTAATGTTTCCATGAGCTCAAGGTAACTTATAGTACAGCATAACAGAAATTTTATTCAGTATGTTAATCAATCATGTCATGTAAAAAAATTCAATATATTCTGCATGCTACTGTACCAGAAAGTTCATCTGGAGATGCCTGATTTATGAATTACAAAACAATAATCATCCAATAACTCAATCCCAGTAGCATTTTGATAACAGCTCCCCATATAAAGATGAAATCAGTTTTTATCCTTGACTGAATCAAGCTATAGTATTGAGCCGAGGTGAAGTACTACAAATATACATCAATATAATAGATGTCTCGAACAAGTTGAATTATAAACTCAGAGATCCCATCTTTTCTCAGACAGTAAATGAATAAATTGCCCTAGCTTAAAAATTGTCACAAGTTCACAGCGAATTAGAGATCCAGTCTCGACTCTGGAGAACGAAATAATCAAATGTATAAAACAAATATTTACCTTGATGACGGTATAACTTCGACATGGCGAAGCGCTTGACTGAATTTCAAATAAACACACTTTAAAGGCATCCTTGTTGGCGTAATATTCTTTCTCTATTCTCATATTGTTTCAATGATTTGTTATTAATCGGATTTCACTTCATAAAAGTCACAAATCGTTGAAAATCTCTTCGAAACTGTGTATTCCCACTCCTTGTTAGGGATGGGCCGATATCGATACCAAATACTCGATACTATCGATACCAGGGTTTTGAAGAAAAGTATCGATACTGGCAAGAAATATCGATGTTTCGAAATTTCTGCGCCTGCGCTATTTTTTCATTTTGGTCAGCGGCATCATGAAAATGATACCAAAAAGCCAACAAAAAGCCTAAATAGGCGTAAATACTAGAAAAATAGTTCATTTTCTATGGTGCTATAATGGTCCACGGGCAGGATGGGAGTTTCTGGTTATGTTGGTTGCAATCACTGACATATATTATTCAATGTTTATATTGTTAGCGTTGTTGCCGTTGTTAATGATTAAAAATAGTCTTTTTGTTGTTATGGTTCTTCGAGTTGGGAAAATATCGATAACGGTATCGATATCGAAAAAAAACGGCAAATATCGAGGAAATATAGTATCGAATGAAAAAGCTGGTATCGCCCATCCCTACTCCTTGTATCAACAAATATAGAATCGCGCGTATATTACGCAATCGGACTGGAAACCATGGAAACGAGAGATAACTAGTCTACCATTCTCGTACCCAGAGCCCTTCTTACGCGCGTTCGACCGAGCCCGACGAGGGGCTCTGGCCAAATCCATAACCGGATACCATAAAAACATGGTATCCGGTTAAACACTGCGCATGCTCAACGTCAAACGCGGATAAACACTTCGGTTTTCTTGTTCGTTTCGTTTTGAAAGTTTTTCTCCAGGAAAATCCCACAAAAGCGGTAGGTTTCGCTAATTTTATTTATTTATATCAATTAGCAGGTAAGACGTGATGTTCTCAATGCATGTTGATAAAAATTTAGTATATATTCCCCTCTTAAACGTTGCCAAAGCAGTAATGGCTACGGATACGAAGACGAGAGATTGTCTCACTATTTTATATTCGATTTTAAGTCGCTGTTGTACAGATTTTTAGACTTTTTTGTGTTTTATTAAAAGTCAACAGTCATACATAAGACATACTATACTGCAAATCATTTGAAAATTGTAAAAAATCGGTTTCTTGGAAGAAAATAGTCATCACAATTAACTTCATATTCTGGCTGGCTTTAATATTTTCTCTTGAGATGGCACTTCAGCTTTGAACATGTAACACAGATTCGTTTGATTAACATCACTAATTTGGAAATACGACGAGCATTTCCCATAAATATGCTGACTTTTTGCTACGAGAACATCACGTCTCAACCTATCAATTCAATCAACTAATTGATCAGTTAAATAAATAAAATTAGCGACATCTACTGCTTTTGTGGGCGATTATCGACAACAATCTTCCTAACTGCTTCGTACTGCTGTTCTTTCAACTTTAATAATGTTTTTTCTCCCAATTTTCAAAGGGAAACGAACGATTCGGGGAGCGCTTGTGTATTTTTATTCATATTTACTATAATAAACCATATATTTCGTTGTGGCCAATCAGAAGCCAGTTTGATATGGATTTGGCCAGAGCCCCTCGTCGGGCTCGGTCGAACGCGCGTAAGAAGGGCTCTGGGTACGAGAATGCTAGTCTACCAAAACAAAAAGAATCGCACATGCGCAGCACGGACTGTAACCCGTCTTTATAGGAGGTGCGAAGTGTCAAAATGGACGGGCATTCTATATCATATTAATGATCCCGACGAATAAATAGTTGCAAAACTATACCTGCGCGTGCGATCAACTGTACCCCCAGTGTTGATCGGCGATCACAAGTTAGTCATGACCAGCTACAATTTTGCACTTAACCTTGAAGCAGGGAAGTAAAGCATCAAAAGACCTAATAATATATACCTATGTGTATGTATATCAAATTACTCTGTGATTCCTCACTTATAAAATATAACCCAGTATCATTCGTGATGACAATTAAAACATATGTAGTTGAAACTTGAATATATGAAAACGTTTTCTGAATTGCCGTTGTTTTGTATTTTGTAAAGATTCTGAGTGAATTTTTCAGAATCTTCAATACTGTAAGTAAAATACATGGAATTGATTGTGTAATTATAACATCACACCTGCAGATATAGCTTTCTGAATGTAAATATGACATCAATTCTGCAGAAAACGAGCTTCTTTACATGCAGAACATATAAAGCCATGGCCCATGGCGAGATTTGTTTTTGTAACTAAAAAAAGAAGCGAAATACACTAAACGAGCTCACAAACTAAGACAGAGAAAAGAGAGAGAAAAACACAATCTCGGCATTGATAACTTTCAATATCACGCGAAAATTATTAATTATTGTCGTAATAGATTTTTTGAAGTTTAGTAAATTTCGTGTCCGCCTGTCCGCGTTTTCCACCTGACTTGCGTGTCCGCGTGTCCGCGTCCGCATGTCCGCGTTTCCACTTGACTTGCGTATCCGCGTGTCCGCATGTCCGCGTGCCCGCATGTCCGCGTGTCCGCATGGCCGTATTTTCCACCTAACCTGCGCATTCCACTGGTAGCCAGTGCGTCACTCGCTGTGTGGGATGCTGGTTAAAATGCGCCATTTCAACCGGCTTTGCGCAAGGTATACTACCAAAAGCTTAAGAGAATTTAAGGTTGTTGTACTACACTGTCGCTATGAAGTTCTATGTATGCATAATTTGAATGCGATCTTCCCGCGCGCGCTATTTTAAATTGTCCCAGTCGGGTAACTGTACCCTGTGGGCTGTGTAACCTTGACACCATCCCTCTGTTCCATCAACTGACGGTGTAAATATATAAGCCGTTTACGATTATAGAAGAAATAGTGACAGAATCAATTTGCGAAGTACTCAGTATACGTTAACAAGCCCAATTTTTACTTTGCTCGCTGCTTTTTGGACGAAGTGGAATTTGATTTGTACGTGGGTGACCTAGCTCTCTAGTGTACAGAAGAAATTTGATGCAACGAAAGATTCCTACTGTGAACAATAGTTCGAAGTCCTTTCTCGTTGCTTAATTTAAATTAAACGTCTGGCCTTAGCTGTCACATTGTCACAGTTCGATATTTGCTAGCAGAAATTTCGATATGAGTACCGGCGTTTCCCTACTAGACTAGTATGTTTTGCTATTGCAAAATGTCGAAAAGGAAAACATTAGGCTCCTTTATAGAGAACAAATTGCCAATTTATACGTTAACAAGGATTGAAAAAGCACTGAGATCAACGACAAGATGCATATCGTGGCTCGATCTAATCTTCTATTAACTGTGATCTAATACCCGGAGACGAGTCAGAGAAAATATGTAGGGAGTGCCCAAGGCTTGCAGGGTAAGTAAAACGTTTATTTATACAGTGTATATTTCCGTTTAGAATTGCCAGACAATGCATCATTGCTTCGTACAGATATGCATATAAATAGACTTTGTCCATTTGACCGTTATAAAAATACAGTTTGTTTGAAATATTGGCGACAAATTTGAAATCATTTTCAAATTCAACGACATGTAGCATACATATATATGATCCAGTACTTGCATTTAATTTAGCATTATATGCAATACCTGCTTCTAATTAAAATGGCTAGTATTTGATGCATTACTATGAGGCGCTTCAATACTGTAATGTATTCATACCTTAGTTGATTAGACTTAGAGTTAGGCCTGTTTATATGGACTCCCCGCCTATATTGAGACAGCACAGTATGCCGGATGAATTTCTGTTGTGTTTAAATGAAAAAAATTCATCCCGATTCCCGAGAATATTTTGTTATTAGTAAGTTAAAAATATCTTGAGGTGGTATCTTTCATCCTGGCAAACGGGCTAGCCCGCTTGTGAGTGTTTATATAGTGGAGAAACTCCCATCCTGGTAAGCGAGATTTCACCTCTTTCGAGCAAGATCGAGTCTCAGCAACAGCCGGGGCCAGCCCGCTAGTCCATATAAATTCACAACATTTATTTAATAGGCTACTATAAAAACAACTACACAGCGAGATATCGCTTACCGAGCTGTCTCGCCTAGCGGACCAGCCCGGCTTCCATATAAACAGGCCCTCACATAGATAGGCTACAATTGCAGTATAGACATACATAATACACACGGAGCTATTGCGGCTTATAAAGTACTAGTCAATTGAGAGACTTTGACCCAAAAGCATTTGCGGGATTTTAACAGTGCTCTACCTTTGCAGGGGTGATACAAGTTAATAACAAATGTCACCACGTTGATGCCCAATTGAACACATGACATAAAGAACAAGATACATGCATTTTTGCGTGTAATGTCTCTGATGCTACTCTGCATGAGTGTAGCCTTTTTCTACACCGAGCAGGCTGAAAAGTTAGCCTGACCACGGTGGGAATCAAACATGCGACCTCTGGGTTAACATCAAAACACCATGATCATGAATAGAATAGGTCCTACATTTGTATCAAAGGTACTAGACTTGGTTCCGAAATACCACACACTTGAACAGACTTGGCCTCGTATCTCGTGTTGGCAGAGCATTGGACTAGTATCCCTATGCAAAGTCGCGAGTTCGATTCCCACAGTGGTCAGGCTAACTTTTCAGCCTGATTTAAAATTAACAAGATACATGTATTTTCTTATTATTAAATTTAGCCGAGAAAGCCAAATATTTTGACTCAGCCATCTGGTTAATTTAACAATTCAGCAACATTTTTAAGAAGCTGGGATTTGTCAGTTCACGGTTGTAAAATGTACCAATTCCTGCATATTCCTGAGGTCGTGATTTCTATTCAGATTTCAGACTAATGCATTATTTGGGGTTAAAAAAACTGTATGCTTTTGGTACAGACAATATACTTTGGGCTTTTTACTAGCGAATTTTGCATTGCAACTACTGTATGGCAAGACATATAAAAAGCACTATAATATACAACTAGCATTGTACTAGGATTATTTGCCCATGCAATCAAAAGCCGTAAAAAGAAGTTGCTCCTCACACTTTGCGCGCTTACAGTTTAAGGTTTGAGATTTTTGAAGGACAACCTTTTCCGAGTTAGCTGCATGTATACTATATATACCGTGCAATATATTGCAGTAATAAGCTCCCGCGATGATGGGTAAAAACTTGAATGATGCTAATATTATCTGTATTCGTTTTTAGAAACTGGCAAGAAGATTCAAACATCTTAAAAAATTTAACTGGAGCCAGGAAAGAGTGGCAAAGATTGCAGATGTCCTTGCGATGCATGGAGATAATGTCATCCAAGTTTACCTGTGAAAGCAGAGAACCATGGCGAGCAAAGAGAAAACTCGATAAGAGTCACCATGCATGCATGATTCGCTGTCTGGACTATCAAAGAGACTTATGATGCCAAGGGAGTCAGGGGAACCAGCACAAGTCGCAGATGTTGACCCAAATCCGCCACTAGCAGGAACGACGGGTAATGATGCAGCTATATATACGGATATAAACGTGCCCCGATGAACTACAATTATTTTGAACTTTTTATTCTAGAAAACGTACTTACTAATGGACTTTATTATGCACACACTTTATTAATTTTTACTGTCGTTCCAACTGAAGTGTTGCTCAAATATTGATTCAATACATTACCTCAGGTTGACCAATTCATTTCATTAAGGTTCCTCGAGATATTCATACGCTTCCTGTGAAAGAGCCAATTCCAAGTATTTGATAATTTCTGGTCACTTCCTTTCTATTAATGTTTGGTTGGTTGCACAAACAACAAAGGTGATTGGTGCATTCAAACTATTCAACAGGAAGTTTACAATTATACTGGGAAGTGCATGTATGAATATCTCGAGGAACTTGATCAAATGAATTGGTCAGCCCGAGGTAATGTATTGAATCAATATTTAGGGAACACTTCAATTGGAACGACAGTAATCACTTTTTAGTTTGTTATTATTTTAGTTGCTAAATCTCTTTATTTAATTGAAAGACATTATGGAAAAGCTACCAGTTAGGACCAGCGCTAAAAAATTAAGGACTTGCATTATTCGCAATTTAAATTATTAATTAGCAACAATTTTTGCCAGCTAAAAATAATTTTCTAAAGAACGAGTAAAAAAATAGTACTTTTATCTTACAAAGCCAATAACAAAACGTGATAATTTTAGGTTCGGTTTTTGTATCTGCGAAGCAGATATATATGCTATCGCAAACGTGCCGTGACCGTACCGTATCGTATGTTAGCATATAGCCATTCAGCGACGAGCTTATATAATTTAAGCCAATTTAAGCCAATCAGCGATTTGTTTACATCAATTGTTTACATCGTGCCCGCATCTATTAACCTGCGAACGGGCATACTTTAGCCTCGTCAGGCCTCGTGTATAAAACGTGTTATTGTTTCAAAAATATCTTTATATTTTTATCAATTTATCTTGAATTGGCTGTCTTTTTTTTATTCCGAAGTTATTTATCAATATGGAATCTTATCCTCATCTGGTAAGTAGTCAAATACCACATATTATATATTTAAATACCAAATTTGTGCAAAAATGTCCTACATATTTTATAATACATGAGTTCGCCAGTTAGGCAAATATTTACTATACTATCTATAGTTAATATTGCCGTATCTTCGGCGTAGAGTTTACATGGAATGCACTCTGGAATTTTTATATTAATATATTACACTGTTAAAATATTGGATATTTTCGAGGATATTTTAAGCCATTTGTCAACATAGTTCACAAAAAGATTTATACAGTATTAAAAACAATCCTTCTGTGACTTCTGTAATATTTTAAACAGTGAAAACATTCTCAGGAGATATTGAATTAAATCCTGGTCCCGTATTTATATATATTGACTCCATAACTCTGTTCAAAACAACAGTCCAACCATAAAGCTGTCATCAAATGTAGTGTTTAATAGAGCAAAGGTTGAAGATGTTATCAGTTAAAATACTTATAATTATACATTTTGGTTTTACACATTAGAGTTAATTAAACAAAATTTTTACAAACATTTTCAAATAAAAGAATCCTCACCCTCTCGAGCCTCATTACATTGTCATTTTGCTTTCTAACATAAATATTTTTTTTAGAGATTAATACAAGAATGAAGAATAAATGTACTGGATATTGGCTGGATAATTTTGTCAGAACAACAAACTTGCAAGACAATTTTACCTAAATTCATTAGTATGGAAAATAATTTAACAGCTAGAATGAGTAATCATATATTATATGGTGGATTTGATCAATGGCACACAATGTACAAAACTAAACTTGTGAAACCTTCTACTCAAACCCATAATCTCCCACAACACGATTGTTTTTGTGTGAATGTGCTGTACGTGTTAAACCGAACAGTGTGGTATATCATTAACAGTACACAGAACTGGAATTTAATTATATACTTCACCCATGACCTTCAAAACATTCTCAATTATTCAGTGGTCTTCGACATGTTCACCAAATATTTTGTGTATGTTACTCAACAGTTAACATTGGTAAGTGTAAACAACAAGTGACATAACTTTTGCTTCATATGATTACAATAAAGTTTTGAAAATTTGATGAGTATGGATTGAATTGACAGGTGACAGTTTACTAAATAGCCGGCTGTATAGACACTTTGAATATTGTTTGCATGAAACTTTTATTTCCGGACTGCATAATTATCTGTTGCAATCATAATCACATTATAAAGTTAGTTAAATATTCTCGGTGCAGGGGTGGGGGTGGGGTAGCACTTGCCCTGCTGCACTCCTCGCTGTGTACAGCCCCGTTTTAAATCTTATCTGCCATTATAACAAAATGATGAAATATTTCAATTGTCCCATGTCATCTTCATTACTCAGTTTCTTTCAAGAAAATACAAAATGTGAATCAAGTTTTTTCGCAGATACATGTACGTGTCGCGTACCTATTTTTTTCTTGGCTTTCGTCCGCACAAATCCGTTTTCATATAGCGTTTTCTATTGTGAACGGATAACAATACCGTACGTGAGAACGCCATGCGAGTCCTGAAAGGATTAGCTTAGCCGCATCCTGAACGCTAAAGACTTTGTGCAACCGCATTTTTTGTTATCATGGTGAATTATTCTCGTTGAACTCAATGTTTCAGTTGCGCACGATAATTTATATAAAAGGTATTTAGTGGGAGGATACTAATTCCCCCCGGCTATTTACACCCGGGGAAACGAAGGCATTAGCGAAGTCTAAAGTTCATCAAATATCGCGGGCGTGGCTCACCAACGATGTTTCGGTGTGTGGTCATCCTCACTGATCTCAAAATATGTGTCGGACTGTCATGAATAGCGAAAACTGATTGGTCCAATTTAAAGTTTGCATTATAACGACTGCATGACAACAGCGAAATAGCAAACATTTCTTGATTTGATGATTGATAAATTTCTTGCAAATATCACAAATATGTTTCGTTTTTGCTCGCATTTTTTCAAGATTTTGTAAATTTCAAGAAAGAGAGGGCGAAAGAATCGACTAAAAGAAGTGAACCGACGTTAACGAAGGTAAGTTTGTTTTAAATATTGATTTTATAATGGTTTAATTTGAAACCCGACGGCCTTTACATATATGAAACAACTAAACAAGACATCATATTATTTCAGTGTATCTTTAGTAATATTGATTCCCTCTTTATGATATTGAATTTTTTAAATAAAAAAGAAAGTAGAGTTATTTGCAAGCGAGAATGTAAAGTCATTTTATTGCAAACTCAAAGTTTATCGATAAAGCCATTTTAAAAGGCAGTTTAGTTTTATAAAGAACACTAGTGACTTTAAACCGTTTTGCGAAGCGTTTGTGGTTGAATTTTACCTTAAATTGAGGCTTAAATTACGTATAATAACATACATAACATATATATGTTGGGAAATTAATAATTTTGTAATTAAAAGTGATATTTTTAGGCGACTTTTCATTTGTAAGAATATTCTTAAAAGATTATCGTGTTACCATGACAACTACTTCAGATACTTCATGTTCGGAAAATACAATGGTTTTGCCTGTCAGCAAGGCGAGGGTTTCTGCATGCATGTATTTTCTAGTTTTAGTTTTGTACATGCACGGGGGTATACTGTTATATATTTTGTAATAAATATATTTAAAAAAATGAACGCGTGTTGTTTATTTTAGTTCATGTTCCATTCAATGTTCATGCATCTAAATTATCGATGCATGAACATTGAGTCAAGCAATAACGGGATTTGTAATCATGAATAATATTGTATTGTCAGAAAATATGAGACAAATTCAATATTTTCACAAGCGCAACGTCCCCAGCGATGCAACTTATTGCAAATATAATACAGCGACTAAATAGGACTAAAATTGCAATTACACAAAGTTTAATCAATGTATTAAATATGATTAATTTATTCTTTATATCGCTTTAAGCGGTCTTTAATAAACGGATAAAATTTACCTTTACTAACCTATAAGCAACAAATAATTGTATGATTAAAGTTGTCTTTAATAAAAATTTCTACCAATATTAAAGGCGACTAAATACATTATTAACCGCATTTAGTCGGTCTTTAATCAATTGAATTAAATGCGCATTTAGCTCCCTTTATTGAACTTCAATATGCAGGTACTAATTCCGCCGTTAAGACACTTAATGCAACCATGGATAATAAAATAAATGGATATGAAACTTCTGACGTCATTGACTGCATCCTTGTTGAAAAACGTGACGTCACGCGTATTGCGAATATTACCAAAGTTCTCGGCATATTTGTTGTTTTGCTATATTTTCCACTTTAAAAGGGGTGATCTTGAAGCGTAAACTGGTCTAATTGTTTTAAAAACATGCCTAAGCCACGACAAAGTATTCAAGGTAAATGTTTTTCGTCTTTGTTTTGTATTTTTTTACATTTGTAGCTACGAAATTGACGTCACAAATTTTAACGAAATTTGCGATGTATTTTTCACTGTTTAGTGCTTGAAATATTTGCTAAAATTGACTGGGAATACTTAGAGTTTTCATCGTAGAATGGCGTGGTTACATTTATTTGCTCTTTGACTAAAATGTTTAGCTGTATTATTGCTAAACATGCCGTTTTTGAGAATTTGATTTTCAACTAGGTTGAGGCATCCAACCACGCCATCA